TGGAGGTTGAGAATACGATCCGATGGCGATGGGTTAAGGACGAAGACGGTAACGATGTGCGTGTGCTTAAAGATATTGTTTTCATTTTACTGATTATTGTACAGCGCAAGCAATCCAATAGTCGCATCATCCGTTGGTCAGATGGCACCCTTAGCTTACAGCTAGGCAAAGAACTTTTTGATGTCAACCAGAATATCGACACCTCTGCTTTGATGCCTCGTGGCGCACTGGGTGGCTCGCAACAATCACGTACTCTGTCACAGACATTTGCACCTTCTTTGCCTCAAACGAAAGAACAGCAATCTACTGCTTCTACATCGCGTATACGTGGAGCAGGCCTTACATATTTAGTAGCGCAACACAAGCGTGCCGAAGTTCTTCAAGCGGAAAAGGTCATTACTGGCCATCTCACACTACGCCCCACAGGCATGCAGTCGGAGACCCATCGCAAGCTGGTGCGCGCCGTCGGTCAGAAGCACAACAAGGTTGCACGGCTTAAGATGGCACCTACCGAGCTTGTCCAAAAGGATCCCGGCAGGGAACTTGCTGAGTTGGCCAAGAATGCGGCGAAGACGAGACCCAAGAAGCCTAGCCGTCGAGATGAGACGTTTATCACGCCCAGGAAGCGTAGAGGTGGAGGTGGAGGCGGTGGCAGAAGAGATTTCTACGACGAAGATGAAGCTGTTGATGCATATGATTCTGAGGACGATATGGACACCAGTTTAAGGAAAGGGAAGAAGAGAGCGGATGAAGAAAGGAAAGGGGGAGAATATCAGACGGACGACTTCCTCGTGTCTGACGAGGAGGAGGAAGAAGACGAAAGGGCCCCAAGGAGACGAGCGAGGGACAAAGATGAATCGCGGGACGTTTTAGACGAAGCTGAGGAAAGGATCGAACGAGCAGAGAAGAAGCGGCAGGGTGGCAAGGATTCAGACGAAGAGGATTCAGACGCGAAGATGGATGTCGAATCAGAAGAAGAGGACGAAGATGATGATGATGCATCCATTCGCAGGACAACTGGCAGGCGTAGGAGGGTGGCTGTCGACGAGGAGGATGAGGAAGAGTGAAGCTTAGGCTGAGATACTTAGGCGTTGGCTAGTTCTTTCATGGAGCGAGAGACATGCTTGCTGAAAACTTGTTTTGTAGTTCGAATTGTATAGTAGCGATATATATATACTTCAGTTTGTTTAGTGGGGTTCTTTTTACGTGGGACAAAATCAAGCCGTGGACCGGCGCTTCAATGGATGACGTCACGCGTTCGGACTCTCCTTGACTCTTTTGATACTTGCACGAGCATACTGTCAATAACCACCTACTCTTCCTTGATTTCATTCCTCCTCAGACATTCTACGCGCTTACACCGTCTTCTTGATCTCAGCCGCGATCTGCTAGTCATGGCTAAATAGCCGCAACCTCCAGCAGACCAAGAGGAAGTTGAATGAGTTATGGGCCAGATAATGCGAACACTTGACTAAATCCAAGAGATCCTAAACGGCGCGGAGCAAAATTGCAAAAAATCTGATGCAGAAGAGAGGAGAAAGAAAAGTGCTAAGAAGTATCAACATGTAATGGGCAACGTGTGGAAAACAATGAGGTGTTATGAAGGGCTTATAATGGTGTGTCCATGCGCATAATTAACGCATAATTTTTCATTTATTGGCTTTTATTATGATTAAGGGGGCAGTATCGGCTGTTATTCTCGCTATATGTGTAAATTGGTACTCCAGGACTAAAGCCGATTATGGTTATTCGTTTGCTAGTAAGTCATATATTTTTCCTCATCAATGCTCGCTCATAAATATCACAAATAGCTAAAATTTCGTTCCAAATTACTTTCACTTCTGTCGTTGGGCTCGTTCTTAGCGAAGTTCTTATGTCGCAATACGTCCGCCTGTTTTACAAGTATCTTTCCACAGATCCTCTTACGGGCATTAATCTATCAGATACTATCGAGGCGCAAAAATGCATACCGATGACAACCTCGCAATACACTATTTTAAATCTCACAAAGTAACTTCCAAGGAAATACTACTGCGTCGTCTCCTATCGTTCTGCTGGGGTTTGAGTGGAGTTGTGCTATCCGTAAGATGATCTGTGCATATCTGAGTACTACAAACTGGCTTCATTCTAATAATCCTAATCTAGAAATATTATCCTACTACTCTTTGCGAAGAATATAATGGATGTTCTCTTATGTGGTCTGCGGCCGTCTTTAGTTGGATTGGATTCTGCGCGTCCTGGGGTCCTCTCTGGGGACTATTCCAGATTCTTATCCCTGTCATCCAAGTAGGAGGACGCCCTCTTTTGGGCACGCATATCTAAGTCCTCGGCAAATACTTTCTTTGAAAATAAGCTAGTAAGGAATACGTGGTATCGCAGCTCCCCAGAGCAGATGAAGACTCCGATGACGTTCCCTCGGAAGATTACCTCGTAAGAACCTAGGCTACGTTATGACAGTCCCAATATTATGCGGTATTATTAAGCTGAACATATTTTAGTGGATGATTGCACACGCGAGGTTGGCATGTGTCTCAGTATAATGAGATGTATGGCACAAAAGTGGGACTATTTAGATCTTCTAAGTCTTGAATTTACTTCTTTCAAGCGATCAATTTATTAACTTGACTTAAACAGGGAGGGGATCATCTGTCATGCATTTCTAGTTCTCTCAGCTGTTCTCTGTATAAGATCCACGAGCAAGTCCATACTTGTTTCTAACTCTCACAGACTGTATAACGAGTAGCCACAGACCCAAATTGTCAGGAAGTGTTCTCTGTGTTTGAGAGCTGCGCAAGCGTATCCGTCGTCGCACAATGTATTTTGTGAATATATTTCTTGGCATTGTATGCTTCGAACTGAGGCCTTGATTCCGAACCAGATCTAGGTCGGCTTCCTCCCTTGCTCGACAGCAAAAGCGTGATCTACGCCGAGTTTACAAATCTGTCGTCCGGTTTCACCATTATGTTGACTGGCCTTCTCAACCCCTTGTATTTATGATGTGGATTAGTGGCATAAAGATTCTATGGGTTGGTACTTCTTTTTCTCGGCATTGGGTTAAATAAATGCAATAAGATATCTATTGATTTCGCAATTCTCTCAGGAACTAAACTCGATCCCTGGTGGATTGCTTAAAAATCGACTAAATCGACATCAACGAACTGAGCATCTACACCTGTTACCTTTGTCTACGCCTCGCTTTGAAAGTCGTTTCAAACTGTCTTGTTGGAATTATCTTTCCCATTAAAGCCGGTGTATCCGATGAGAAACAACCCTATACTCGTTTCAAATTGAGGGAGGTCAGCGATTATGAAGAAGAAGAGTAGTAAATGTGAAGCGATGACATGGGTTGTTGCAGTGAGGAAGTCCTCAATGAGGAGCTGTTATTAATGCTAATACTTTTGATCACTAAAGAGATTTGTAAATTACTACGATGTCAAATAATCTTTTTTGCACTATATTATAGTGAGGTTGATAGACTATACAGGCACCTCAGAGCTATTTATGACGCAACCGGCAAACCTTGCGATTAGTCAGCAGCCTTATGTAATATGCGCGTGTCTTGGCGTACTTCCTCCTCTCGTCCTGTGCCTTGGGCCCTCGGCCTTCTAGCTCACTCCAAAAAACGCAGATTCATGACAATTCATTAGAATTCAGTTTCAACTCAATATTCGAGCTGTTTCTTCGTTAAGCTCCCTAGATGGCGTTGAACAGCGAGCAGTCCCTCCGGAAAGCTACGGAGAGTATCCTGGGCATCATTACCCGTGAACGCGAAGCACAAGCATCTTATATAAAATCTCTCATCCGAGAACGCGATGAGGCACAGTCAGAAGCTCGCAAAGCTACCACGGAAGCTTACATGTACAAGCAAGAATCTGAACGGTATAAGGCGGAAGTGGACGATCTGAGAGAACAGCTTGTCAAAACTCGCGCTCGTTTCAACCTAACGATAGTACCGGTCAATGATGAAAGTATGTGTGGTTATATGTTGATTTAGTAGCCAAATGGAGCTGATCTCTCAGAAAAATCTTGACCTCCATTGGTGCATTTAGAAATTTCTTTAGAAGGAACCTCATCAACTAATACATTCAAAAGACTTAATGTTAATTCTACTCCTGATATATCCATGAAGACGTCTCGTAAGTTTACCTGGTATATCAAGGTGTCTATCTATTCACCTGGGACTGCTTCCATGAGCAGCACTTAAGGGAAAACGCAAACGACTTTCTACGACGATACCCAATCCAATTCCTATGCAGCTAGATACTCCAACCAATTCCCCTTCATCTACGAATATCCAGCAAGGAAATGCTTCAGAGACAGGCGAGTTCAACTTGTCTAGCCTTGTGGCGCGTTCCTAACAGACCAATATTACACAGATACCCCCTCTAATACTATTGCCTTGCTGGGATCTCTCAGTTATAGTGCCGCGAATATTACTCCTCAGAAGCATCTGCAGGAGTTCGTGAACAATACCGAATCGCCTGATGTTGATTCGTCTCCTCTACCTCGTACTCCGTTTCAACAACGTACTCTATCTCAACATACTCCGTTGGCTCGCACTGCTGATGTCAATTATAACTACAGTCCGTCGGAGACGTGGTGCTATTGTGATGGAGGAGAATATGGCGAGGTATGGGAACCTTACTTTACTTCGTGTTATTCTCACTAAGACACGGGTTAGATGGTTGAGTGCAGCAATTCTCAATGTTCTCGGGGCTGGGTAAGCTATGATTCTGAAACCAGTATCTTCATATAATTGAGCGAGCCTAGTTCCATGTTCCTTGTACTGGGCTATCTGTGATACCAGAAGGCGATTGGTACTGCCAATATTGCATTACTTATTCCAACTAAAGGACCATATCATGTCCACATCGAACCCTCTGTCGTTTGCTACTACCTAGTTTTATGCTCCTGTATTATAGCTTGTTGTGTGGTGCCCACTTGTTAAACCAGCGCATTCTGAGATAATCTATTGATTCTGTGTCACCATATATACATGAGTGCCCATCGATTAGTGGTTAAATCAGTTCATTGTGGGTTTATGCTGCAGGTGCTGAACAGTCCCGCGTTCGACTCGCGATGGGCATAGTGTTTCTACCATTTTGTACCCTTGCGTTAGCCAGGGCTCTTTCCACTCCCTTTCAAAAACGGGCGTCTCTCATGTCTATTTGTATGTATGGATGTAGGTCCATATGTACTTCGCGACACTTATAACCGTTCCTTTTAAAAACGCGTTCCAAAGAAAATAAAATAATAAAGTAAATAGAGTGTATTTGCAGCTAGCTTAAGTTATCGGCTAAGCGGAATACCTAGCATTCATTGGAGCAGAAGCCTTGGCCGATAACTTAAGCTAGCTGCAAATACAATCTAATGAATGAGATTCAAAAATTCTTATTTGAGAGTCAAAATAGAAAATCTTATCATGAGCGCAAGGGTTCTGCCTCCACGAGGCCTCTAGTTAACCAAATATCTTGCTTATCGAATCTCAGAACCACTAGAGTCACAATTTGTCACGCCTTTAGACGGAATCTAAAGCCCGAGCAAGCAGCTTGGTCAGCAGCGTCCACAGACACCCAGCCGCCACTTCTCCCGCCGCCGCTAGCTGCTTCTGCTTCTGCAGCACCAACTAATTCCGCTTATTTCATTCTCAAAATTTAATAGAAAAAAAGCATTTTTGTCAGCCGCCTTAGACACTTTGTCCCGCCCCCCGACACAGTACATAGCAGCATATATTAAAGCAGTGGGTGCGCATAAGTAAGAAAGTATCGGCCTTGCAATCATAGGACGGGAGGAGGTTGCGTTGATTTGATGACAGGAAACTTTTTGATAAAGAAGTTCATTAATATTCACACATGGTTCCTTTCCAGAAGCCCCGCCCTGAACGCACCATCACGTGCCCATTGACTGAGTTCAGTGACCCAATCAAAAACACGAAGCTGAAAAAGTATCATAGCCCCATGTCCAAATTGGCTTCAACAATCTAGCAAGTGTGTTGTAACAGAAATAGTCTGTTATATCAATAGATAACTATGTACATATATGTTATATAATGTATATAATGAATAACTAATATATATATTAGTTATATGCACTACATCAGTGATGTAGTTATA